ATAGTTAAATAAAAATTCAAAATTTTCTTAATCTAAGTTTAAGTAAAATTTATAATTTATGAGACTCCATAACAAAGTATTTTTAAACGCCTAAAGATATCCAAAGCGATATAAAAAGTCAAATAATATTTGCATCACTGTTTACATTTAGGGGTATTATGTAGCACTATTATAAATTTAAAATTGAGACCTACATCGAAATAAAATACGCCAAAATTTTCATCCAGTTAGATGAAAAACTGTAAAGGTTCCTTGGTAGTATGACAACTCAACTCTAAAAACAATAAAATGTAACTGACCTACTAACATTACAACAAACTTCAGACACAAACTGCATCTATTTCAGTTTCGCGATAACGGCGGGCTACATAATAGGTGCGTTTCATGTAGGTCAGTGGTTAACGTAAATGCCCGGGTCGGAAGTTCGAAATTCGAAACTATACCGTCGTATTGTGCATGTACCAGATGGATTTCTGGGTAGACAAGGATTCCTACCGCTTAGTGCTGCTTCCAGTTAATAAATCTAGGTGGTAATGTGTAGGAAACCATAAAATCTGTACCCTCTGTTTAGATAACATCCCATAGTCGGTCCACCTATCTATCCAGCGATTTCAGCCCATAAAAGTCCATTACTGAACATAGGCCTCTCTATAACATAGATTATCTCATTAGGACGATTTTACCCTAGTTGCTACGATTGGCAGGCGGGGTAGCAACCGCAGTTTTTATTTATGGTTGGGATATTTATATAGTTTTCTCATCTGGTTGGGTTGTATAAATAAATAAATAAATAAAACCCAACCAGATGGAAGCCCTCGTCAGGGGAGATCAAACGGCCGAGGGTTAAAAAAAGGGACAGAAACCGGCGGACAATTCGGGCGGTATCGAGGAGCACCGCCTTCTGCATTCGAGACCGGAGCAGTCCGATACGGAGTCCCAGTCGCCTCAGGTGACCCGAGAGGCTTACCGGGATTAGCCCGTTCTCACAAACGACTACAGATATAAATTCGCAGATCACCCCCACATATCGGTCACCTCGTGAACCAGGTCCAGATATTTTATTCGCTTTCGCTGATTCGGCATTTATTATTGAGTAATTGTAAAATGATGGTGCCTATTTTCTATTTTAGTTTCTCTCTGGCGCCTCTTACGACACCCACGTGACGTTATGGGGTAGTGGATATTCTTACAACCGCCACTACACCGGTTTACGCAACTTAAACTAAATGATCTACTATCAGATAAATGATCGGATACATTCAAACCCGATCTATCAACGGACGGATGGAGTCGGATTCTACTCACTAAGCCAGTTAGTTCATGTAAAACTTCAATAGACCACCAATTCGTTTCAAAATGGCGAATGGCCGAAAATACATTCGACCCGATTATCCAGAACATTGAAGCGTATTGACAACTGCCCCATAAAAGCTGGCTGCAAGACAAATCGAGTACGCGGCCGTAATACAGGATGAAAGAAACTACTGAAATAGGACACCGGATGTTTGATAAAAGACATCATGAGAGGGTTTTATTTTAAACTAGCAATACGCCCCGGCTGCGCCTGGTTGGGACCCGGATCTAGCAATGTGGAGTCGTTTAGATTTTTTTAAAAGGAACATTCCTTTTGTGATTTTTTAATTTCACAAAAAATATACTCCAAGTTTTTAAAATATAAAAAGATCATTCCTGCTCTCTCTCTATCTCTCTCTCTGTTCGTAAGGTTACATCACAATCGGTCCAGCCATTCCGAAGATTTGCCCGGGCAGACAGACAGACAGACAGACAAAATTTTACAATCGGTTTTCATGTCATAATGGCATGCAACATAATACCAGACCTCGATAAAAGACAATTATTTGGATATTACAGGCATACACTTCAATTTTATTTACATATAGAAGAAAGATAACGTAGCGTAGTGTAGTGGCTAAGCTTTCGCCTGCGGCGCTACGGGCCCTTGGGTTCGAATCACGCACGGAACGAGTTATTATTGGCTACAAATTGTTTCGCATGGATGTTAGTCCATACAAAATCTACGTGTGTAATACGTCTCCACGATACAGTAGAAAATCCTAGTGTGGGTTACGTTTAAATCAAATAGTTACAAGCCATCGTTTTTCCATAAACTTGACTGATAATAGTAATTTGATAGTGTAAACACAGCAAAAAGTTCTAATTCCAAATCAATACTGGATGTATCGCATAGATATAATTATATTTCTATGATGTATCGCCTTTCTATCCATGACCTATTAAAACTCACATTAGATACTTATCTATATACACATAAATAAAATCGAAGTGTCTGTCTGTAATATCGAAAAACTGTCTTTAAGTGAGCTAAGGAAATTATTCGCATGCCAAAATTTTTGTCTGTGTCTGTTTGTCCGTCCAGACTAATCTTCGGAATGCCTGAACCGATAATAATGAAACTACACGAACAGATAGAAATCAATGCCAGGAGTGATCAAGGCTTTATTTTATCCGACAAAGTTGATTAAAAAACCGATCGGTTGATAAATTTATCTGAACTCTAAATGACGCTACATTAACAGATCCTACCTAGGCGAAATCGGCGCCGGTCGCCAGTAATAGATAAAGTTTACAAAAGTTCGTGACGAGAATGTAAGTCAAAATATTTATAACGCAAAAATTTTAAAATCTCTGACTAACACTCGCCTGCTTTGTATTGGAATGCGTGATGTGAAAATAATGCAAGCTGGACTCGCTATTTTAATACGTGTCGATACTCGTATCCTCCGAGATGAGAACAGTTGAATAAATGGTTATTCATTCCGATCCTATATCTAATGGATTTCAAATAGTTGCTTTTTTGTAAATAATAGTAATGCTATTAAACATTACTAATATTCCCTTTAACCACTTCTGGTTCAGTAGGCGAATGCCGGATTCGAACCCACGACCTTTCGAGTTCACGGTCCGCACCCCGCCATAGGGCTACTGAAGCTGACGCTTTACAGCGTCGATGTCGATGCAATCCGATCGCTCCTCTTTTAGGATAAGCTTGTGAAATTCTAGAACCTATATAATAAACAAGGAATTTTCTAGTTGTTCTTTATAACAATACAATATGTAAGATACCTGTATATATTTTTCATGCAAGTTAATTGTAAAAAGTTAAAGGCTTAGGAGTGGAATAGATTCTTCAAGCTTAAACGGGTTCACCATTGACGTAAAACCTATTTAATATAAAAGAATCATTCACAATTAACAAATATATCGCTTAACATAGCAGTCGAACTGTGAACCTCCTTTTTTGAAGTCGGGTAAAAAAATAAAACAATCATAGTATTAAACTTGCTCAGCAGTTACCAGCCTAACCCCATTAGAGTGCAACAAACTGTCCTATCATACAATTGACCACATCCTTTAAAGATATGCCCGATGCTTATCGAAGCTACGTGATTCACAAATAACATTTCAATAGATACGTACTTAAGAGTACATACATGTCGTACGGCGGGTGTATGATCTTTATTGTTTCCATTTTTAGTGTAAATAGAAAAACAAACTGAATGACAGGATGAGAAAAGTGTTATTTGCAAGATGATGTTGTTAAGAGTGTTAAGAAAGGAATGCTTCAGTGCAATGGTCATGTAGAAAAAATAAACGAGGATAGGTTGACAAAGCAAATCTATGTTGCAGAAGTGAACGACAGAGTCGGGAAGGGATGCCCTAGACGGAAATGTTATCGACCAAATTGGCGATATATTGAAGATGGGCCAGATTAAGAGCACCCTTAACCGACGAGCATGTATGCGTAGGTATATGGATGTAAAGGAGGTGAGAGAGGTGTCCGGATCGTGTCAAATGGAAGCCCGTAATCTCTACATCCCCCTCTGGGTGACAGACGTGAGTGTTTACGTTTATGGAAATATTAAAACAAACAAAACCTACTGGAAACGGTAGATAATTGTGCGTTTTTAGTATGCATTTGATTATCCCAGTACGTACAATTACCTGATAAGACGTGCAGGAGGTCAATGGATGCTTCGCGTTTGGAGGGAGCCTGTGGTCAGCAGTGGACTTGTGAAGATCTGTGATGATGATGATTATGATTACCCCCACACTAGGAATTCTTTTAACTAGCTACTTTTTGCAACTAGGAATGTTTTTACGTGGTAGAGCCCATGCTGCAGCTATGTTAGTAGTATAGTTGTAGTACGAATGGGTCGGCTCGACCGGGGAAGGACCACGCTCTCACAGAATACCAGCGTAAAATAGCACCTTAACACTGCTGTGATTCGTATGGTGAGTGTAGAGAACCGGAGACCCTTTTTACTGGAAAAGAGGCATTCCATTTTAGTCCTCACGGGTGACAACGCATCTGCATTTTGATCCTTTATTGAGGATAGATGTGGATGCCTATGAGTCACAGCAACCACTTAACATCATGTGGACTGTGTGCTCGTTTGTCACCCTATCCTATAAAAAAAGGAACTTCTCCCTTATCGTGGAGGTGTTCTATATACATATAATCTACGTGGACAAACACTAAGATTCTCAATAATTATTTTTGGGCCATACTACCTTGTACTGTTATGTATTCTGTGGCCATACCAATACCCTTTCCGTGCGGGAATTGGACCAGTGACTTAAAATATCGCAGGCTAATGCTAAGCCTTAAATTTTGGGAATCTATATTTTTTAAGATGTTTAATTGCAAACAGTATGTTCCCATCCGCACTAGCATAGGTATTTCTCCGGACTTTCAAAGTCCCGGGACACGGGACAGCCTTTAATCAATGACCCGGGAATTCCGGGGACTTCGAGACTATTAAGAAAAAACTTTTTGTTTTTTTATAAGCTAAATGTTAAATGTTATTTGGTAAGCCTTTTTTTTAGAATTTTAATCGAGTTAATTTCTGGTGAAACTTATTAAGAGGCAATTTTTTGGAAAAAATAACATTTATTAACCAATTAAACAGAAAATTAAATAACTTTAACGTTAATTTCAGTCTCTTTTTTTTTTTTTTACTTATTATAAGCCAGTGCTTGACCACAATCCCACCTGGTGGTAAGTGTGATGCAGCCCTAAATGGTAAATCGCACTGGCTTAGCGTAACAAAAGCCTATTCACTCTTGCCTTGAAGACGCCCAGATTGTATTCGGACGGAAAGATAGACGCCGGCAAATTATTCCACTCCTTTGCTGTACGCATTACAAAAGACGAAGCAAACAGTTTGGTTCTAATGCGTGGAATATCGACATCAAAGGGATGAAGACCCGCCGACCGTCTGGTTGTCCTATGGTGGAAAGGAGAGGGAGGAATTAAAGCGTGTAATTCCTGCGCACACTCACCGAAGTGCATACTGAGAGACTGGCTACTCTACGCCTGTGCTCGAAGCTGACAAGATTGGTTTTAACCAAATCAAGGTCACCAATGAGCCTCTTAGCACGTCTCTCCACTGACTCCAAGGTGCCAGTTGGCATTTTGCAGCGCCAGCCCATATGTGACAGCAGTACTCCATGCACGACCGGACTTGCGCTTTATATAAGGTGCCCCGGCGTGAAGTACCGCCGCACCCTTGCAAGGACACCAAGTTTCCTTGCGGCTGCTTTGGCTCTGGACTCTGGCTCTAATGAACCGCCCATAGTTTAGGTTCGAAGAAAATTCAATCCCTAACAACTGCAGGCGGTCAGTGTACTCCAAGGATACATTCCGGAAAGTAGGAGCCAAGGTGAGCGGGCTCCTTTTAACTGTAAAAAGATACGCTTGTGTTTTGGAGGCGTTAAATCTCACGAGATTGGCATCGCCCTATTCGGAAACTGCCTGTAATGTGAGACGCTCAACTATAGCCTCTCTTTCTGACTGGATTTGATCCCGACTGGCCCAGGCGCTTGGTTGGTATCTCTCCACAACTGTGCTGTCGTCTGCATACCCATAGATACCGGGAATGAGCAAATCATTTATATGCAGCAGGAAGAGAGTTGCGGAGAGAACGGACCCCTGAGGAACACAGGCGTTAGTCGCCACAGTATCGGATGAGCAGCCATCAACGACGACCCGGAAAGATCGTTCACTCAGAAAGTTCTTCATCTAGACAATCAGGCAATGGGATAAGCCGAATGCTGAAAGCTTACCCAATAGACTAGCGTGCCAAACCTTGTCAAAGGCCTTCGAAACATCGAGGGAAACAGCAAGTGCTTCACCGCTGTTCTCGAGGGCTTCGCCTCATATGTGAGTGGCATACGCTAGAAGGTTCCCAGTTGATCGAATTCGGCGAAACCCGTACTGACGATCGATGAGGAGATCATTTTGCTCTAGGTATGCCATGAAGTGGGCGTTCAATATACGCTCCATAATCTTGCAGAGTATGGAGGTAATTGAAATTGACCGATAGTTGGCAGGGTAGGTACGGCTACCTTTTTTTGGCACCAGCTGCACATTGGCCTGCTTCCAAGATTTAGGCACTATTCCAGTCCTGAATAAGAGGCGGAACAAGCGTGTCAACACAGGAGACAATTCAGGTGCACGGACCTTTAGAGCTATAGCTGGTAAACCTACCATCAGGTTCACTAATTTGCATTTTGCCACACCAATTGCTTTGTTTATTTCTTTTAGTCACACACAAATGCACTTCTAAACAGTTAAATCTTATAGTTATGAAACGAAATTAGTTAAAAATCATACTAATTCTTAATAACTTTTCTATTAACTAGTAATTCTAGTATCTAATCATTGTTCATAATGTCATTGTTAATTCTCATAATCACCTATTTGTTTAATTTATTGTGTTGCGTAATCAGTAGTTACGTAGTAGACCAAGTACTTATTCGTTAAACTAACACATGGCGCTAGGCTCCTTCAATTATTTGAAAATAAAAATGATTACATAACAATTGCAACAATCTTGTCTCGTCTCGAGTCTCGACCCGAAAGTCCCGAGACAACTAAAATTACGAACCGGAACTTCGAGACACGAGACGTCCCGGGACCCAAACCCTATTCCGGACAAAGGGAGAGGTCCAGTCCAGTAGTAGACTTATACGTGATGATGTAGGAACGAAGAATTATCAATAGTTCATTATCAAGAGTTCCGGAATTTCGGTAGAAAAGTTACTTAGCAAGCGTGTGTTGGAAAATGTGTAAAGATGTTTGGATATTTATAACTCGATCACGAATACAACAAGGATTTAGATAAAACTTGGCACTCAGATAGACTTTATTGGATTAACACATTGAACTTTTTACCACAGAGAAAAAAGTTACCACAAAATATTTATTAGGCATGAAGGCGTGTCTTCTTCTGCGGGCGGATAAGTTTACGAAGTCAGTTTTCAAAAGTACTACATTTTTGTTCCTAAATTCACTTCAAAACAACTTTTCTTGTGCGTCAAAATTCCTGGTTGAAAATCTGGTTAATGTCCTTGGTGTGATACAATTCCTTTCTTTATAAAACTGAAGTGCCAAACGAACTTACATTCCACCTGTCACCTGTTCTTTATTAATTTATAGATACTTATTACACAGGGACAATAAAAGAGCAGAGGAGAAGACATAGGAACATAGCTTTTATAATCTCATCGCAAATACTTACCATTTTTGACACGAGACCGTATAACAGCCAATAGACCCATGCGGTAGACGACATGCTCCAGCAAAATGGCTCTGAAACAACGATACAAATATATCTTACAAAATATACATTAAACATATATACATAAACATATATGTGCATCCCATGTGCTAAAACCCCAATGCTGCTGTATCACAAATAGGTTGGCCCGACCGGAGAAAAATCAAGGCCCCAGAGAATATAATAACCTAAAAAAATCAGAATAAGGCTACTGTGATTTATATTGTGTGTGGCAGCAGCATTTTCTTGATAAGAGCTCAAAATAATAAAAACTGTAGTTCCCAACCCGCCCGCTATGAAGCAATCTATGATGGAGGGCCTACGTGCAGCAGTGGGCTTTTGATAAGCTGATGATAGTGAACGATGATGAATGATTTGTATGATGAGTGTCTAGAGGCGGAGACACTTATTGCTGTTTACGAGGCATTCCATCTTAGCCCTCAGGGGCGAGTTATAACGGTGGTAGAGCCACGCAGCAGCTTTTGCTGTTGCACGTATGGGCCGGCTCGAGCCGGGTTCCTACCACGACCTCACAGAATACCGGCGTGAAGTGGAAGCTCTGCTTCCGCGATTCGTCTGGTGAGTGCAGGTGACCGGAGGCCCAATCCCCCCCCCCCATCAACATGGTAGCGGAATTACATCATAAACTACCCCAGGAGGGTACCAGCACCCCTGGAGAATCCCTCGCTGAGCATCCACGACTATGCTATTCCACTCCTGAGCGTGGGTGCTCAGGCTGTCCCCGCGTATTCTGGGGGGGGGGGGGGGGCAAAATTCCGTTCAACACAATAACTGCTCGGGGCAAACTGAGCAACAAGACCAAGGCGACCCTGCCACGCTATCCGTGAATTTCTGCAACATCAGAGGACTTCACTCTAACCTAAACACCGTCCACTACCATCTCGAAACGGCGAAGCCGGCCTTGCTCTTTCTGACCGAGACGCAGGTGTCCTCTCCGGCTGATACTTCGTATCTCTCCTACCCGGAGTACAAATTGGAGCACTCCTTTGTGCCTCGGGCTGGAGTTTGCGTGTATGTCAGAGAGGACATCTGTTCTCGACGCCTCGGCAGTCTTGAAGGTTCGGACCTGTCCATCCTTTGGCTACGCATAGACAGCGACGACCATCCGCGCGTCTACGTGTGTCTCTGTAGGTCCCATAGCGGTAATGCCGAAACAGACCGACTCATCGACCACGTCCAAATGGCTACAGATTCCTTGCTACAACAGGTCCCATCCGCAGAGATCGTGATCCTTGGCGATTTTAACGCCCACCACGCCGAATGGCTCGGTTCACGTTTGACCTATCATGCGGGGAGATCTGTTTATGACTGCCTTGGCATATGGTCTGACATAACTGGTTACTTCGCCAACGCGGATTCCAGATGTTGAGGATCATACACCTTCCCTGTTAGACCTTCTGCTGACCTCTTATCCGGATATCAGGTTTCCGTCGATGCCCCTATTGGCTCTTCGGACCATTGTCTGATCCGGAGTGTGGTGCCACTCACGCTCCCCTCGCGGTTGCGTTCGGCAGGTTGCCGCCGTGTTTGGAATTACAGGTCGGCGGATTGGGACGGAATGCGGTTTTTCTTTGCTTCCTACCCTTGGGGGTGGGTTTGTTTCTCGCCGGATGATCCCAGCACTGTTGCTGACTCTGTCACTGATGTGGTGCTACAGGAAATGGAACTATTTATTCCATCATCTGTGGTACCCATCGGAGGCAGATCTCAGCCTTGATTTGGTCGCTCCTGTAAGACTGCATTACGCAGTAAGCAGGAGTGTTATCAAGCCTGGGCTACGGCTTCGGCGACTCGGGATGTAAATACCAGCATACTTAAAACGAAGTATAACTTCGCCTCCAGGTCCTTCAAAAGAGTTATTGCCAGGGCAAAGTCAGAGCACATAGGCAGAATTGGAGAGAAACTAGTTCGCCTTCCTTCGGGAACCCGTGCATTCTGGTCTCTCGCCAAGGCTGGCCAAGGGAATTTCTGTAAGCCATCACTACCATCTCTGCACAGGGAGGACGACACTGGCCCACGACGCAAAAGAGAAAGCCGACCTTTTAGGCACCCTTTTTGCGTCCAACTCGACTGTTGATGACGGGGGGAACACACCGCCGACCATCCCGCGGTGTGAGTGCTCCATGCCGGATGTGCGGTTCTCACAGCGCTCGGTTCGCAGAGCACTCCTCTCCCTTGACATCCACAAGTCGAGTGGGCCTGACGGAATCCCCCCAATTATGCTGAAGACGTGTGCTCCGGAGCTGGCACCGGTTCTAACGTGTCTTTTCCGGTACTCCTACTCCCTAACGCGTAGTCCCGAAATCATGGAAGACAGCTTTTGTCCACCCGATTCCTAAAAAAGGCAACTGCTCAGACCCGTCCAACTACAGGCATATCGCCATCACCTCCTTGTTCTCCAAAATAATGGAATCCGTTATAAACTGCCATCTCATGCGGTACCTTGAGGATCACCAGCTGATTAGTGACCGCCAATACGATTTTCGTCGGGGTCGATCAGCTGGTGATCTTCTGGTCTACTTAACTCATAGATGGGCGGAGGCAGTTGAGTCCAAGGGGGAGGCATTGGCCGTTAGTTCGGACATTGCGAAGGCCTTCGATCGGGTTTGGCACAAAGCGCTTTTTTCGAAGCTCCCTTCCTATGGGCTTCCCGAAAAATTATGCAATTGGATCACCAGCTTTCTTGCAGATCGGAGCATCAAGGTCGTTGTAGACGGCGCATGCTCCGACTACAAGCCTATTAACGCTGGTGTTCCACAAGGCTGCGTGCTATCACCAACGCTGTTTCTTCTGCATATCAATGATATGTTGCAAGCCGGTAGCATTCATTGCTACGCGGATGACAGCACTGGTGATGCTCTATACACCGGCCGTGCCAATATTTCTCGGTAAAACGTCACTGAGTACCGGGACAAACTTGTGTCTGAAGTCGAGTCTTTGCTTAACAAAGTCTCGGATTGGGGCCGACTAAATCTAGTCCAGTTCAATCTCCAGAAGACACAAGTTTGCACGTTTACCGCTAAAAAGAACCCCTTTGTCGTATCTCCTCAGTTTCAAGGGACTCCCCTTGCTGCCTCAGCTAGTATAGGAATCCTTGGCGTCGACATATCGAATAGTGTGCAGTTTCGTGGTCACTTGGAAGGGAAGGCCAAATTGGCCTCTAAAAAGCTTGGCGTGCTCAGCAGAGCGAGACAGTATTTCATGCCGGCACATCGCTTGCAACTTTACAAAGCGCAAGTTCGGCCCCACATGGAATACTGTTCTCATCTCTGGGCCGGGGCACCCCAGTGCCAGCTCCTTCCACTTGACCGCATCCAGCGCAGAGCGGTTCGAATCGTCGACGACCGAGTTCTTTCTGATCGGCTCGATACACTGGCTCTGCGTAGAGATGTGGCATCTCTTTGCGTATTTTATCGCATCTATCACGGGGAGTGCTCTGAGGAATTGTTCGGACTAATTCCAACCGCTCAATTTCACCATCGCACATCGCGACAAAACTTGCGTTACCATCCATACCATCTGGATGATTGACGGTCCAGCACTGTGCGATTTAGAAGAACTTTTCTCCCTCGCACAACTTCCTTGTGGAATCAATTACTACCAGCGAATTTTCCGGACCGATACGACTTAGGAACCTTCAAGAAAAGAGCTTACACCTTTCTAAAAGGCCGGCAACGCATCTGCAATTCCCCTGGTGTCGCAGTTGTTCATGGGTGGCGGTAGTCACTTACCATCAGGTGAGTCGTATGCTCGTTTGCCGCCTCTCCTATAAAAAAAAGGTAGAGACAGCTTAAAGACGCTTCTCGGTTGTGCAAAGATCTCTCAAACCTGAAAGGTTTTTAGAGCAATTAATGCATGCATGTTGGCAGGCTTCACATGTTACTAATACTAATTACCATAAACAAGGTATTTTTTTTATAGAATAACGATGACAAACGAGCACATAGTCCACCTGACGGTAAGTGGATGTTGTGGCTCATAGACATACACATCTATCATCGATTAAGAATCAAAATGCAGATGCCTTTTCATCCCTGAGGACTAAAATGGAAAGCCTCGATTCCAATAAAAAGGGTCCCCGGTCCTTTAATCTCACCATACGAAACACAGCAGCATTGACCTGCTATTTTACGGTGATGTTTTCAGTTTCCTTTACCGCTGAGCACGTGGTACTTAAATTTGCACTTTACAATTTCAGTAGTGTCGACGGGGAACAAGCTCAGTTTGTCTAATACAATAATCACCACAGAGTTTAGCAGTAAGTACTGCTAGAATACTTAAAAGTATACGTCTCGATAAAACATAAGCATAATCTTTTTTTATATAGCATAGGGTGACAAACGAGCACACAGTCCACCTGAATGGTAAGTTGTTGCTGTGACCCATAGACATCTACATTTATCCTCAATAAACAATCAAAATGCAGATGTGTCGGCACCCGTGAGGACTAAGATGGAATGCCTCTTTTCCAGTAAAAAGAGTCTCCGGTTCTCTACACTCACCATACGAAACACAGCAGTGTTAAGCTGCTATTTTACGCTGGTATTCTGTGAGAGCATGGTCCTTCCCAGGTCGAGTCAACCCATTCGTGCTACAACTATACTACCTACTAATATAGCTGCAGCATGGCTCTACCACGTATAAAAAGATTTCCACATAGAAGAGATTTTGCCATAGCTGCCACGCATGGCAGGCGGGTAGCAACGGCAATTTTTATTATTTTGAGTTGTTATCAGAAAGATGCTGCTGCTCATCACCTGTTCCTTTATCCTCTGCCGCCTCTTACGACACCCACGAGACGAAATGGTGCAATGGATATTCTTACACCGCCACTACACTTTACGGTAAACATAAGTCTAATAGTGATTTTGAAAGTTAACTTTTGTCTGTCATTTTTATCCTATTACAATGTAAGATCTCTGCAAGGCCAGAGTTAATAGGCTTTTGTTAAGCTAAGTGGCTTTAATTCACCATCTTCGGCTTCTTCATTACTTACCCTCGAGTGCTCAAG